CAGTGTTCCCTGCCTGTGAGTTTAGGATCTATCATGATGGGGTGAAGTTGCGAAATCGAGCTGTGCAGACCACAGAAGTTGACATTGCCTGGGTGGAAAAGAGAATGAGCTTCTGCTTTAGGTGATTCAGAAAACAATGTACAGGGAAGACAGGTGATAATGGTATTGATATTAATAATAAAAGTGGAGCCACCATTTGAAGGCACTGTTCACATTGTTTAATCCTTGACAAAGTAGGCATCCAGTCTGTTGTGTGATGCCAAAGTGTGGCTGGGGATTAGTGAAGAGATGGTTCTGTCTGGTTGTTCATTTCTGAGGTAGGAACGAGTGCAGCGAAACATGTTTTTATCCACGGGAATCGGCAGTGTCGAGACACAGGTGGCAGGTGGGGAAGCAGGCGGTATCTGCTGACACCTTGCAGGCTAGTTTGGCTGTAGCATTGGAAGGGTCAAAGCCAGTGACAGAAGGGGTGCAGTGGGGTCGCGATAGTGCAGCAGGGCCTTCACAGGGAATAGAGAACAAATAAGCCTGCTGTGGCACTTTCCCATCCCTGCAGTCAAACAAGAAGCAGGGTTTATATAGGTTCTGAGGGTCCAAACTAGGTCCTCGTGCTGTGTGCACAGCAAGCCACCCCCAGCCCTGGTGTCTTTCCTGTGACCGTGAAAGTTAGACGTGTCCTCTTCTTGTGAAGGGCGAGGCTCTGTGGCATCCTTGTTATTTATCCTGTCCTCTCAGGTGAGGGTTAAGCTTGCTGCTTCCCAGTTGAAATCTGTCTGTAGTTTATCTGAATACTGGAAATAGCACTATTTGTTCACACCATGGGGTCACTCAGGAGTGACTAACCCGACTATCCCCTTGAGAGGACTGTACCTGTCATGGCCACGCAGCTGTAATGACTAGTAATCTGAGCAGGAAGCAGACAGGAAACATGAGGGTTGTGGCCCCTTCTGCCTGCCTGTTTCCACTCGGGACTTACTTGGGCTCCGTCCACTCCTAAATTGACACCAGAAGCCATGAGTACAGGCCCTGATACTTCCTTACTCCTTCAGTCCGGGCTATACCTAAAACTTTAATCTCCTAACAAATGGCCCTCTGGCCTTCTCTGACAACCTCATAGTTCCATGTGACAATGAAGGAATGAAGGGACCCTGTACATTCCTAACCTGTTAGATACCATACAGTGGGAGTCCATACTCTGTGTATGCAGATAGAAGATTACATGTCAAACTCAGCCTGCGGTAATGGCCCATGGCATAATACTTTATGTCAGAACCCTCCATTTCATGGAGCCCACATGCATCCCCACTGCTGTAGAGGGAAGGAACGGTCTACATACATAACCTCCTCCACTCAGGTCATCACCCCCACTGTGCACACAGTCTCCACATTAGGGTAAGAAGCATGAGACATGGAGCATATCCTTTTGGGTTTGAGTCAGCGTCTCTATTTAGACCTTGCCTAGTACTCTCCATACAGGCCAAACTCACCTTGAACTCATGGTGATGCCCCTGCCACTGTCTCCCAAAGTCTAGTATTACAAGTGAAACTCAGTTTTTATCTAGTCTATCCCACATCTACTCCACAGGACTTCAATTCCCCATAACAAATTCTCAAACTTTTCACCGTGTGTGGATGCAAGTTTCTGTCCTGCCCAGTCCCACAAACATTCAGTCCCAAAGAAACACACAGACGCTTATATTAATTTTAAACTGGTTGGCCTATTAGCACAGACTTATTATTAACTAGCTCTTACAACTTAAATTAACCCATAATTATTGTTTATGTTTGGCCACATGGTTTGGTGCAGCATTTTCATTTTGAATCCTCTGTGTCTGGGTGCTGACTGCAGACTGAGACTTTCCTCTCCCCAGAATTTTCTTAGTCTGGTCACCCCACCTATACTTTCTGCCTGGCTACTGGCCAATCAGCATTTGGTTAAACTAATACAAATGACAAATCTTTACAGGGTACAAGAACATTATCCACAGCAACCATTGGACTAAGTGCAAAAATACCTGAAAGCCAGGAGAAAAATGCTTTCAGAGCAGAGAAGAGAACCGCAGGGTAGATCTGGCTCAGGGATGAACAGACTTCATGTCCATCACCACCTAAGGACACATCAGACAGGAGTCGAATGGGAATGAGGCAGTGATGAGAACGTCAGAGCAAACATGAGACCAACTCCTGCTGCATCCACTGGCCAATGCCTTTGGACAAGGTTCACGTAGGTCCATGTCATCACTTAGAGAAGGGATGCCCCCATCTTGCAGAGTTATGGTAAGCGACCCAGGCTGCAGGGCATCATCTTCCCAGCTCTTGCTTGGCCATATCCTTCCTAAAGTAAAGATAGTGGCAATGGAAAGACTCTTGGGATTCCCAGCAGCTGGGTTCTCCCTTTTCCAAAGCAGTGACCTACCAGTCTGGGCAGGGTATATGCCTTCCTTCAGTAACCAAGGGTTATTTCCTGTGGGACTTTGGTGTTCATTAAAGGTATGCAAAACTAGTTGTGAATGCATATGTAACAAGGAACTAGACTGCAGATTCAAAGAAAAATCATTTATTTTCCACACATGTGACTATCCGGCCTATCAGGTGGTATGTAGGAAAATCTTTTGCTAAGCAAGATTATGATGTAGGATGTCCTTCTGTATATGTGTTGCATTTATTGATTGATGAATAAAGCTGTTTGGCCAATGGCTTAGCAGAGTAAAGACAAGTGGGAAAACAGATTAGAGAGAGAGAGTAGGTAGAGTCAAGGAGATACCATGTAGATGCCGAAGGAGGATGGTGAAACCTTACCATAGGTAAACCACAAGCCTCGTGGTAAAGTATAAAGTAATAGAAATGGGTTAATTTAGGATGTAAGAGCTAGCTAGAAATATGCCTGAGTCACAAGACCAAGCAGTGTTGTAATTAATACAGTATTTTTAGTGTAATTATTTGGGTCTGGGCAGCCAGGAAACGTAAGCACATTCTCTGTTTACAAGATTATGTCATTATGTCAGGTTGTAGTGAGTCTAGTATTCTTGGCTTCTGTCCAGTAAAAGCCAATCCCTACACACACACACACACACACACACACACACACACACACACACGTGCATGCACACACACATGTGTGCACACACGCACACACTCATACATGGTGTAGGAGTATATGTGTATATGTGTTGCTTTCATTGGTTAAATAAACTGCCTTGGCCTTTTGATAGAGCAGAACTTAGGCAGGAAGATAGAACTGAATGCTGGGAGGCGGAAGGCAGAGAGAGAGTTGCCATGGAGATGCCAGGTCAGACTGATGAATCTTTCCCGGTAAGCCACAACCTCGTGGTGACATACAGATTATTAGAAATGGGTTGAATCAAGTTGTGAGAGTTAGCCAATAAGAGGCTAGAACTAATGGGCCAGGCAGTGTTTAAATGAATACAGTTTCTGTGTGATTATTTGGGGTGTAAGCTAGCTAGGTAGAATGGAACAAAGGGGCCCTGTGCCCCTCACAACCCATGCATGTACACACATCCATGAATCTTAGCTCCTATACCTTCACTTGCCTACAAAATACTCTTTGTGGTCCACTTTGTCCTTGGTTCAAAACCACTGCGTTTGCCCCAGCAGCAGCACAGGAGGAAGTTGGTTTTGTAATTCCACTGCATGGGGAGTGGATGCTGAGCCATGTAAGCTTCCAGAAGCTCATCTCAGCTCATCAAAATTCCCCGAGTACTATGAGAATTTGAACAGAACCTCTGAATGGACAAATGAGGTCACAATGACTTCAGGAGAGCATGTGACAGCTGAGAAACCACACGCACTGGTGGAGGCAGGAAACCTGGAAGTGACAAATCCTTTCTCAGCTCCTCCCATGAACCTCCCAATGAGATTGTTATATAACAGGCCCATGGTGTCCACAGGGAGGCCAGCTTCATGTTTGAGATGGAGAAGATGTAACCGAGTGTTTACTACCCTCTAGTTACTTTTTCTCCTTATTTATAATTCTTTTACTATTAATTTTTTTGGATTTAAATAGCGAAATATTTTGCTTCATCACTCCAGAAGGGGATGTGTTATTATCTAAGGGAACTAGGCATTACTGTCTGTAGCACCTAGCTACAGTCAGTCCCAGAGTAGACATTCAATTTCTGAATGAATTTATTCATCCCTTGCCACCATGAATTTTATATCTTATAATGTATTGAAGCCTTTAATTTCATATCTGGTCATCATATTCTCTGGAGTGTGATGTCATACACAGAGAAGAAATCCAATCAGGCAGGATTTTCCTTACTTGTGATCTTGGCGTAACCAGAGGGATTTTGGTTGTTCCCTGGCCATGGTTATCCCCACCAACAGACTGCTTTGTGCCATAGAATTACATGGTTTCTGTTTCTGTCCCAGATGTTTTCTGTCTGTCTAAGTCTTTGTCAGAGGGAGGGAGAAAGAAGAGAAGGGGGTAGCAGGAGAACGGACCAAAGTTGTACTAGATTCTCTCCAATATTTATATACTGACCTATGTTCTCAACCCATAGCAGGACATTAAACATTTCAGCGTCTGTTACATTACTTAAGGTGCACAAACTTCAGGGCAGGAGTGCCAAGAGTGCACTGCTCAGAGCCAGAAGCTCTGTCACCATGGAGACAAGGTTCTAAGAGGCAGTGGTGTCCAGATGTGAGGCTGGTGTCATAAAGGGTGCTTTCCTGGGTTACAGCTGCCCCCTGCCCCGCCCACCCTCTGTGGTTTGTCTCAGACACTTAGCCAATATAAATATTGGCTACATTGGCACTTATATTTACAAGAGAAATTTCTTTTTAGTGGCAGCGTGGCAAAGAAGTCATTAAATTTCATAAACTGCAAATAGTTGGATTAGCAGGTAAGGTCACTTTAAAAAGAAAGTCTCCCTTGAACGTCAGCTGTGGTCACTGCCTGATGCCATGATCTGTTACCTAGGAAAGAAAACAGACGCCTCTGCTGGCCAAGATGCAGGACACTCCGAAGGCCCTGACCAGTGACCCTGACGTCAATAAGCACGAGAACAAAACGCAGAAGGAAGAGATGTAAGGATGGCGTGCACGGGGCAAGCGGGGTCTGGTTTGGAGGGATGGTGAGGAAGTCTAGACTGCAGTGTTGAAAACCAAACCAGGTGGGGGGGGGGCTGCTGAGATGGCTGAGCAGACAAGGGTTGGCCTTGCAGGCCTGGAGTCTACATGGTGGAGGGAGGGAACAGCTCCAGAGTTGCTGTCTGACCTCCAGGTGCATAGCAGTGCATACACAAGCACTGCACCCCGACTCCACCCCTCCCCTCCTGCACTACCCACTCCACCCCTCCCCTCCTGCACTACCCACTCCACCCCTCCCCTCCTGCACCCCCCACTCCACCCCTCCCCTCCTGCACCCCCCACTCCACCCCTCTCCTCCTGCACCCCCCACTCCACCCCTCCCCTCCTGCAGCCCCCACTCCACCCCTCTCCTCCTGCACCCCCCCACTTCACCCCTCCCCTCCTGCACCCCCCACTCCACCCCTCCCCTCCCGCACCCCCCACTCCACCCCTCCCCTCCTGCACCCCCCACTCCACCCCTCCCCTCCTGCACTACCCACTCCACCCCTCTCCTCCTGCACCCCCCCACTTCACCCCTCCCCTCCTGCACTACCCACTCCACCCCCCTCCTCCTGCACCCCCCCACTTCACCCCTCCCCTCCTGCACCCCCCCACTCCACCCCTCCCCTCCTGTACTCCCCACTCCACCCCTCTCCTCCTGCACCCCCCCATTCCACCCCTCCCCTGCACCACCCGCTCCACCCCTCCCCTCCTGCACTCCCCACTCCACCCCTCTCCTCCTGCACCCCCCCATTCCACCCCTCCCCTCCTGCACCACCCACTCCACCCCTCTCCTCCTGCACCCCCCGCTTCACTCCTCCCCCTTGCACCCCCTACTCCACCCCTCCCCTCCTGCACCCCCCACTCCACCCCTCCCCTCCTGCACCCCTCCCCTCCTGCACAGCCACCGCCCACAGCAAAATGTGTGTGATGAGCAGTAACGCGTTACTAGAATCCAGCCATGGAGACGTCTGTGGGGACGGCATACAACATGTCCAGTGCTCTGCTACAGCCATGAAGTATTCTTTCTACCAAAGCTTTGGCATGGCTTTCGTCTAGTTTGCTAAAAAATGCTTTCAGCTTTTGTTGGTACAGGACTGGACGCCGTGTGGGCTCTCGGGGTTCAGGACTGGTCACCGTGTGGGCTCTGGAGGGTTCAGAACTAGACACTGTGTGAGCTCTGGAGGGTTCAGGACTGGACGCCGTGTGGGCTCTGGAGGGTTCAGGACTGGACACCGTGTGAGCTCTGGAGGGTTCAGGATTGGACACCGTGTGGGCTCTGGAGGGTTCAGAACTAGACACTGTGTGAGCTCTGGAGGGTTCAGGACTGGACGCCATGTGGGCTCTGGAGGTTCAGAACTAGACACCGTGTGAGCTCTGGAGGGTTCAGGACTGGACGCCGTGTGGGCTCTGGAGGGTTCAGGACTGGACACCGTGTGAGCTCTGGAGGGTTCAGGACTGGACGCCGTGTGGGCTCTGGAGGGTTCAGGACTGGACACCGTGTGAGCTCTGGAGGGTTCAGGACTGGACGCCATGTGGGCTCTGGGGGGTTCAGGAATGGACTCTGTGGGCTCTCAGGGTTCATGACTGGATGCTGTGTCTGCTCTCAGGGTTCAGGACTGGACGCTGTGTTGGCTCTGGAGGGTTCAGGACTGGACGTTATGTTTGCTATTTTAGACTGAGATGGCTGTGTTCACTGTCAGCACCAGTCTGTTGCCATGTTCTAGGTGAGGAGCAATACCTTAGTGTTTCCAAAGTAGCCTCTCCCTGTCCCCACACAAGCTCCTGCCATCAGTCCTATTCTAGTGTCTGTCAGTTACAAAGAGAGAAAACCACAAAGGCTCTTACCTCCATATCAGTCCAGAAATGGCAATCCTGCCTCGAGGAGTCTCAGAATGAGGCTGTGTCTGGCTGTCTCCTCCCATTTTATAATCCTCTCTAATTCTGGAATTAAGGGTGTGCACCACTACCGCCTGGTCTCTATGGCAAGCTAGTGTGGCTACTGGGATAAGAGGTGTGTGTCATTGCTGCCTGGTCTGTAAGGCTGGCTTATTTTCCGATCCCCAGACAAGTTTTATTTATTAAAATACAAATGAAATGCCACTGCATGAGTCGGTAGGAAGACCCCTGTCTCTCAAGAGTCCACAGATGGGTGAGTCGGGAGGAAGACCCCTGTCTCTCAGGAGTCCACAGATGGGTGAGTCGGTAGGAAGACCCCTGTCTCTCAGGAGTCCACAGATGGGTGAGTGCAGGGCGCGCGGCCAGCTGCACCACTGGAGTGGGGTCCTGGAGTCTTCAGTCTCTCACATTCCAGACTTCCTGTGTCCCTGGGCCGAGTTTCTGTGCTACACCAGGGCTTATTGCACATCTTTGCTCTGGAATTAAATATATTTGGAAGTGACGTTGTTTCACTGAAGGAAAAATTGGGGGGAGCTTACAAAATGAGTATGCCGAGAAGACTGAGCCACTGAGCAGTGAGATCCAGATGTGAGGAACACTGAAGCGCTTCCCAGGCTCAGTCCAGACAGCAGGAGGGAGAAGTCCTCCCATGCTGTCCTGTCTCTGGCTACACAGAGGCGGCACACGTAGAGTCTGCCCCTGAAGTCTCCTGCCTACTGCCATCACGGTCATACTCCAGAGAGCCCTCAGAGTGCAGGGCTCCTCAGCCAGTGCCATCACGCTGCATTTTAAAGCTGCTTCTGCCTTTCCGAGAGGCACACTGAGCAACATCTGCTGTCAACAATGGAGCTCTCCAGATAAAAGGTTTCCAAGGAAGGAATTCGCAGGTGAAGAATCAGGAATATGATAATTTGTGCTGAGGACATTGTGAAAGATGGTAGGGGAGGAAGCCCCAGGCCCTGGCTCACATAGAAACCACAATGAGGGCTGGAGAGATGGCTCAGGGGTTAAGAGCACTGGCTGCTCTTCCAGAGGTCCTAAATTCAATTCCCAGCAACCACTTGGTGGCTCACAACTGTCTATAGTGAGATCTGGTGCCCTCTACTGGCTTGCAGGCATACATGCAGACAAAACACTGTATACAAAATAAGTAAATATATCTTCAAAAAAAAAAATCCTCAGTGAATCAACCCAACCAGACATTGTCTTTTCCGGCCTTATAAGCTATGTCACTGTGGTAGACCCTGCAGAGACATCCTGCGGGAAGACATCGCATTTAGGCCATGGCAAGACTTAGACAGCATAGAGGAAGCAGAAGCAGAGCAGAGATGGGAGGAGGTCAGAGCAGGATATAAAACCCAGGACATTGCTCCATGACCCACATCCTCCAGCTTGGCCACCTTGTGAATCCAGCAGTGGATTCCTTGGGAAAGAGCCTCTTCCCTTGCCCTCTCTGCAGACTTAGAGACACATGCAGAGGTGTGACTTCCGTTGGTCCTCCTGGGCCTCTCTCGTGCCAGTTCTATTAGACTCAAGATTAGCCATGATATAAACTCTGAAAAGTCGGTCAGAAGATAGGCGATCTGGGAACAGTGGAGTCAATTCCTGATTCACAGTAAATACTGTGGACACACAGCCATGGCCTGGGGATGGCTGAACAGGCCGTATGTCCAGCTTTATAGAGCAACGGAAGAACGCATGGGTGTACAATGTTCCTGTTAAATCATCACAAAGATGCGCATGTGCACACACACACACACACACACACACACACACACACGAACACAACAGTTTCTCTGAGACCATTGGAATTGATGTGGAATCCATCACCAGCCTTTTCCTGAGGTCAGTCTTGAGAATACTGTTTGGGTTGTGCAACAAACAACTGTACTATAGTTTAGGGGCTTTATTCAATGATTGTGTGAGCCTAAATCAATGCTTTTTTTATTTTTAAAGAAAAAGGAAATTTGTGTTCCCTGAAAACTCACTCCTTACAGGGTGTTTGAATTCACTAGTCTCCCCTCTTTTCTGGTTTCCATGAGAGATGGGGTGCAGTTACCATCCACATAATTGTGTCAATATTGGAATATTGGAAATTTAGTCCAGCAGCTGCAGCAATTGAAGAAGAAGCCACGTCGGTGAACAGACATTAAGGTCCTCTGTGCCCTAATGGGAAGAGAAATACTCGTGTCTTGATTTGAGTAAAAGAAATGTATTAAAAAGCTAAGAAATAAATCCTAAAGTTCCTGACTGCAGACATTATACTGATTATTATAGATTTTTAATTTTCAAAACCATTAACAATAGAATGTGTTGATCTTTAACTTAAGAACGAAATATGTGAGACAAAGCTAATAATGTTTATTATTTACGTAGTTAGAACCGGAGTTTTAGAATGCCACTTTCTCCTGTTAGCTGTTTGATATTTAGCAAGCAAAATTCGGAGTAAAATCTCAAGCTTCCTATACTCAGACATTTTAATTTTCTAACTTTGTTCATTATTGTTTTGTACACAGAAGAGAAGAGAAATTTGAAAGTATGATAGCAGCCAAGCAGCCGTCTTCAGTTCACTTTTTCCCAATGATGATAGATCTGGACAACATGCAGATACGGTTGTCAGAGTCACTTTCCAATGAAATACCGGTCAGCTTCTATCAGATCACTAGCGCCCGGAACAGTGGTCTAACCATATCCTCAGCAGGACGGCTTACTTCTAAATCTACTATCATGAGCCTCTCCCAAGGAGATACCAGCCTGGCAAAGCAGAGTAAGTACCGAGTGTCCGACGCCCCACAGCACGTTTTGATTGGCTCTTTCCTTGCCTCCTTGCCTGAGGATGCATTATCCTGTGTCCCCAGTGAAGTTTGATTCTCAGTCTGTACCACATGCAGAGTGGGTTAGCTGTGGTCAGGAATCTTTGACTCTAGATCTGAAGTAGTTATAAATGCAGGTGGCCCAAACACGACATCTCCGTAAGGAAGAAGTCTGCAGCTATCGTGATGACTTATGGGTCTGCCGTTAGCATGTTCTAGAATTGTTAGAGAACCAAAACTTGCAATGTAGATAGGACCCTTCACTGAACGCTGCTAGAAAGATCAAGAGGCCTAGAGCTGCCATGATGACGTGTGGGCTGGTTATAAGCATGTTGTAGAGCTGACGGAGAACTCAAGTTCCATATATATATATATATATATATATATATATATATATATATATCTCCAGTGATCCTCCAGATGAACGCTCTATGAGGATTAAGCAATGTCTTCTCCATCTCTGTGTAAGATGCCTCGAGCTACAGTGACAGCTAGAGAGTTAAAGTGTCCAGAGTATAGCATGAAGGGCCATTTACAAACTACTGACAGACCTTGGGATTTCAGTCCGGTGCTCCAATGTGGGTCTCTGTCTCTGTCTCCTTTCATCACCTGATGAAGGTTAATATTCAGAAGGATGACTATATGTTTGTCTTTGGATTCACCTTCTTATTTAGCTTCTCTAGGATCGTGAATTATAGGCTCAATGTCCTTTATTTATGGCTAGAAACCAAATATGAGTGAGTGCAACCCATGTTCCTCTTTTTGGGTCTGACTTACCTCACTCAGGATAGTGTTTTCTATTTCCATCCATTTGGGGGAGCCTAGGCAGTTTGGATGCTCACCTTACTAGACCTGGATGGAGGTGGGTGGTCCTTGGACTTCCCACAGGTCAGGGAACCCTGATTGCTCTTCGAGCTGATGAGGGAGGGGGACTTGATCGGGGGAGGGGGAGGGAAATGGGAGGCGGTGGCGGGGAGGAGGCAGAAATCTTTAATTAATAAATAAATTAAAAAAAAATACTGACAGAATAAGCAATATCTTCTTTTGTGCTCTTAATAGATGCAGGGCTCGTGTACATGCAGATCAGACATCAGAAAGGGAAATAGCGCAGGAGATGCAGTAGCTGAGAGAACATGAAGGAGCAGCAGCAGGGTGCTGGCCCAGGTTGCTGTGGGCTATGCTGGCCCTCACGCTTAGCTGACGCTGTCCTGGCAGAGGCAGAACCAGCTCTTTTCTGCCCTCTACAGAGTGAGGAGGGAAGGCATTTCACACCTGCAGAGTGGAGAGTAAAATACCAGCTTCACAGGGTTCTGCTAAGCTTGGGGTGTGTGTGGGAACCCAGCACAAGGCCAACACGTGCAGCCGTTAGCCTACTTGTAAGCTCCTTCTAGAATAATCTACATTTGACTTGTGTGTCCATGGCTGTCGAATGCCTCACTCTCTCCTCTGTGGACATTTATAGTCTGGCTTGTTTTCATCTGTATTCTGTGTATGGCTGGTATTTTCCTAGGCATGATGATATATACGATTGTATATGGCTCCCATATACAACACAGTGTGCGTCAATGTTTTTGTGACTAAGTTGAATCATCTAAAGACTCTTGCTAAAATTCTTGCTGACCTTAATCCTTGACCAATATGCAGAATGTTAAACATACAAATACAAACTTTAGACCTAAGAAGGAAAAGTTGCCTTCTCTGATGCTATGCAGACCACTGTGTTTGCTGTGTGTTTGGGTTGAACTGTGGAAACCCCTGCTAATGGGAATGAAGCTTACTGGCTTCACTTTGCACGGCAAGAGGTGGGCTGGGATGCAGTCTTCTTGAGCTGCCGCAGACTCTTCTGCAGATTCAGGCCTGTAGATGCTGGGACATGATGTACCAGTCCAGTGCCATCTGTGGTCCTCAGGGAACTAAAAACAAGATCTTGGTTAATGCCTCGTTCCTTTGAGAACACAAGCACTTGTTCCTCAGGAGGGAGGATGCAGTGGATTACAGAAAGATTTACTGCCCACTGGGTTGCCAGTGCTAATTAAGTTTTCATTTCTTCTCAACAAAATCCCATGAGGAACCCTCTTCAGTCATCAGGGCTGTTCATAGAGCTGGGTGGTTCGAGAAGCTCATAGTGCACCTGAGGCCCTAGGCCCAACCCTGTCACTACAATGAAAATACTATTATTTATTCCTCTGGGTAGATCACCTTTCTTTGGTTTTGTTAAAGATACAAGCATCTAAAGCAAAATCTGAGTGGTTTGTATGCCTCCCAGGGTCACGTGAGAAAGACCCTTACCCTGTGAAAGGGACAGTGCCAGCCAAAGACCGGCACCTGATTTGCCTCTAGAGTCCTCATTTTCCTGGCAGAAAGTGGTGCTGCACAGGTGGGGCTTTAGTTTGGGAAGTATAGCAGGCATTAAATAGAATAAGATTGTATTTGTATATATATAGCAGGCATTAAATAGAATAAGATTGTATTTGTATATATATAGCAGGCATTAAATAGAGTAAGATTGTATTTGTATATATGCTACCCAAACTTGCCAGCTTCAGTGTTTACTCACAAATACAGATGGTTTCTAGTGCGGCTAAATAATCAGTTAAATACCCAGCATGCCCATGGTGGGGAATGAGGAATGAGAAGTCCCCAAGGATGCCAGGGCCAAGATGGCTACACAGTCCGTACAAATGCCACGCTACACGGGAACATTTTAGACAGCTAGATAATCTCTAAGAAATGAGGGTGCTGTTGAAAATGTTCACTTACTCATGCTTTATAGGCTCCCACCAGAGTTTCTGATTCTTCTCACCGAGTTTACAGGGATAGTAAACCCTCTAAAGAAAGATAATAGGAGCAAAGACGCCCTTGGATTCTTAGGATGTCTGTCCATATGTCTGTCTCACTTGCGTGTCCAATTTCTTTGAAAGGCTCAAACTTCATGGCTCCAAAGAAACACCTAATGAGCTTTGACTCAGCCACACTTGTTCTGGGGGAAGGAGAAGATTATTTTCTTTCTTTGTTTGGAGACTCGAGAAAACTCACGGCACGCTCTTCTCAATCCGAGGATGTCATCAAACACCTGTCTGTGATTCTCGAAGAAATCGGCCAGTTTACATCCAGGTACACATTCGAATAACTTCCCATCTTCTGCCGAGGTCATATCAGTACAAAGCAGAACTCTGAGCTGTTTTTGGATCCATTTATTTAAGAAAACCCCTAAGGAATTCCCTGAACTGTAACCCCCTGTGTTCTGAGCAATTAGAAATAGCTGACAGAAGTTTCTAGGGGACCAACCAAAGGGTGTGAGTTTTCCAAAGGTTGCAGAGACCCCAATGCCACAGAATTCGTACAGCGTCAGCCCCCTCCCTCACACACGATCATTCCCAGGGATGTAGTGGTTTCCTTCCATTGGGCTGTTGAGTTCACTACAAGAACAAGGTGAATTTTTATACCAGTTATCCTTTTCAATGGCCACCAGTTTCTATGAGAAGAGTTCACCAAGAAGAAGGGTGTCATTGGTTAGTCTGATTTCTCATCCCCGCTGTACTTGCTCTGAGCAAGTCTGAGCTGTGGGATGCTGCTGACACAAAGACATGTTGGGGGGGGGGCGGTCTGCGAGCTCTAGGGGGCAGGTAATCAGGGTGTGCAGTTCCCCTTATGCCGTGTTTCCAGTCACTCAGACCCACATGCCATTTAACAGATAATAGAGGAAACCTCAGGGTTTGTTCTGCCACCTGGAAACACTATCAGAATCATCCAGGGTCTGTCATAGTAAATGTGGTGATTAAGGCAAAGGTGTAGACTTTTTAATGCTTCCAAATAACAGCTGTGTGTGTGTGTGTGTGTGTGTGCGCGCGCGCGCGCGCGCACGCACGCGCGTGCGCGCATATGTAGGATTTTGCTGTGTTTCACAGGAGACATCCACCTTGTTTTGGGGGACAGGATTTCTCATCATCTTCGAGCTCCCTCGTAGGCTGGGAGGCCCATCAGTGAGCCCAGGGAATGTTCTCTGGATGTCCCCACCAGTGGGGCTCTAAGTGCATGCCACTACACCCAGCTTTTTACATAGGTTCCGAAACAACCCACGTCTTCATGCATACATGGCAAGCCCTCTACAGGCAGAGCCATGTTCTTCCAGGTTAGGGTGGTCCTGCAGGCCTGCCCAGGCAGTTGGAGAGAGCTTGTGTCCAGCCTGGGAGGACCTCAGAAGACAATGCATTGTTGTCCTGTCTGTTGGCATCACCCCTTGCCATGGACCAACGCCCTAATATCTTCCGGAACATTTGTGTTGATTGCGCTCTTACTGTTCCAAGCGGGGCAGATACTCCATCCCGCTTGTTTTGGCACAGTTAGGATGTTTCCAGTCAGTATTTCTTTTCCAACACCACCATCTCCAACATCTCCAGGGATCGCTTGAATATTTTCCAACAGGAGAAAAAGGTTTGTGGGCAAACAGGGCATGAAGCAGAGGGGTTGTTAGAGTTCTCACTACACACACATTTGAGCTCTCCCTAAGCTCTCACAGTCACGCGTGTGAGCTCTCCCTAAGCTCTCACGGTCACGCGTGTGAGCTCTCCCTAAGCTCTCACGGTCACGCGTGTGAGCTCTCCCTAAGCTCTCACGGTCACGCGTGTGAGCTCTCCCTAAGCTCTCATGGTCATGTGTGTGAGCTCTCCCTAAGCTCTCACGGTCATGTGTGTGAGCTCCCCCTCTGAGCCCTGCCCCACTTAGTTCCTTGAGAGCAGATGACTCTAAGGGGCGACCTTCCCGTCCACCCTCCTTCTCTACCTCCAATATAGTTTGCTGTCTGTTGCTGCGGTTAAACACTGACCAAGCAGATCAGGGCAGGAAAGGGTTTATCTGGCTTATACTTCCAGGTCAGAATCCACCTGTGTCGGGTGCCAGAGCAGGAACCATGGAGGAACTCTGCTTGCTGGCTCACCCTGGCTCATGCCTACCTGACTCTCCTAGATTTCCTAGGACCATCTCCCCAAGGAATGGTGCTGCCCACCATGAGCTGAGCCCTCCTACGTCAATTAACAATCAAAACCTAACCCCCCAGACCTGCCCATGGACAGTCTGATCAAGGCTTTGCGCTCAGATGACCTTCACTGTGTCATATTGACTACTAAAGCTGAGTAGTTCTCCCAAGGGATTTCCTCATTCTGTAGTCTAGAGTCAGAAGGGGCAAGCTCAGGGCTGAGATGGGCTCTGGCTGTGATTGGTGCATGGACTACAGAGGTCCTCCTGTCACCAGAAGACTCCCAATCAGACTGAGCACATCACCCTACCTGGTGGAAGTCTCTCCCCTCTGCACCAGGAAGTACGGCCCCATCCCATACACTCCCTATTACTAACTCAGATGCCACTTGTAACATTGTTGAGACTGTCACAGTCAGCAGAATGGACAGCAAGTCACTGAGCAACAAACTTGGAAGCCAGAAAGCACAGTCAGCAACCTGACACTACACAGGGCCATGTTTAAGGAAAACAGGTGTCATTCATTTCCTGGTGACATAGCCTTGGATCTTCTCAAGGTCCTTACAAATCAAATGCGTGCAAAAGCTGCAGACAGGAAGACAGCACATCAGCCTCCAGCTCATCCCACTGAAGATCACAAGCAGAGGTCTCAAGGCAACTGTCCCAGTAAAGACAAATGCAGACTTTTCAGGGAAGAGAAGGGACATCTACAAAGGCTGTGGCATCAGATTAGCAGCGGCCTCGGAATTTCCACAGCCGTGTGAAGCATTTCTCTGTAGCATTTGGTCTCGTGTCAGAAGGAGGCTGAATCAAGTTCCCTGCCATGAACAACAGCTTGTTCCAGACAAGCAAATTTGTCTTATTTATGTGCATAAACACAAAGTTTAGGACAATAATAAAGCTTCACTTGGCCATGCATGATTCTTAAAAAGCAACTACATCTACTTGTTTATATATGCTACAAAAAAGGGTCAACCTATATAATATTACCTAAGTAAACAAGAAATAAGCAACTTCCAAAACTCTAGAAATCACAGAGACATCTCACTGCCTGGACAGTCACCCAAAATTCTTTTGTACTGTTGGGGCATCCATCTTCAGCCTACAGGCCCATAGTATCCAGCAGACATTTCCATGAAGCAGGAAATTTTAAAGACAGTTCAGTCACTATCTGCTGTGTCCTGCAGAATGTTTCGCAGACTCTTTCATGAGTCAGGAACCCCAAAGAGTCATCTCACCTTTAGGCAAGTTCAGCAGTCCTCTCTCTGTGGGTTCTCTGTGTCCAATTTATGCAACAGTCCAGGCAAGAGCAGTTTCTTGCCCAAATGGCTAACCAACTCCATAAGGAGCCTCTTCAATGCCCATTCTCTTGAAGTAGCTGGTGCTGTCAGCAGCAGACGTGTCTCATTGTCATGAAAAGCCCTAAGTTATTAAAACATTTAAAATGCCATATTCTGTAGTCTTTGAAAAATATGAAGAATGCCTATTTAACTGAAATATATCTCTATATATCTAGAAAATCTAACTAACATGACTACAAACTTGACTATTATTGATCATTATCCATTAACAATCTATATTTCCTAATTATACATTACATTTTAAAAATGAACTACACAATCACAATACCTTAATCAATATTAGAAATACATATACATACAACAAAATTGACCTTAAATCCATACCAATGCAAATTATTCATATCTATATCATATCCCTCTTTAAGTGTAAAAGATCATTTATAAACAATATTTGGGAACATGGACGCAGTTTTTTCTCTCCAAACTGCTTCCTGCTGTATGGGGGTGCTGTTATTCAGGTCTTTTATGGTGTAACCTGTATGCCAGGTTCATCTCAGTCAGCAGTTGAGTGAAATAATTTTTGAGGGTGTTCACAGCAACCTTTCAGGAGGACGTGGTCTATCATACCACATTGGGATAGAAGCAATCCACAGGGTTTCATCCTCTGTGAAAACAAAAGAAGAACTTTTCCAAAGCATCATAATCTTAGATCCAAATTTTGAAGTCAAAGTATTTTCAAAATATCTATCTTGGATTAGTTCAGCAGCATTTGTAAACAAATATTGTTTAGCAGCTGTTGCTCCTTCCTCAGCATTCAAACAATTCAAAGAGAGCATAATAGCATACAGTATCAAGATTCTCTGTGGATTTTCCATCTTTATGTGCCTTTATTTTAACCTCTGCTTCTTTTATTTTTACTTTTTGAGGCAGGTTCTCTGTATATCTTTGTCCTGGAATAACTCTGTAGACCAGGCTGTCCTTGAACTCACAGAGATCCAACCCTCTCTGCCTCCCAAGCATTGGGATTAAAGGTGTGTACCACCACACCCAACTACTCTCTTTCTTTCTTTACTTTAAGAACTTTAACTTTTTTTTCAAGCCTGCATATATTTTTAAACACACTGTAAACCATTTCTCTAAATGGTTTTTTTTCTCTTTGAATCTCTCTTTACTGTATATCCTCTTTTTCTGACCACATGAGTCTTTATGGAGAGGATTAAAGCCATGGCTTTGATGACTGGATCCAGTCCATTCCTTAGCTTTCCAGCTTTATGGCAGAGGTACCGGCTGTAGCCATTTTTTATTGCCACAACTCTATGGTGTGTCAAGGTCCCTGCCAGCAAGCAAGCTGCAGCATTCTACTCACAGACCACACTCAGTCAGACTGCCTGAGTCAGTTTGTTCAGGAAGGACAGCCCAGAAAGCCGGCATTTTAAAATGATGCAGATTTTTTTCCTGTTATGGCTGAAAACCGAAAAGCATGCATTCGGCTTTTCATCAACACCCTTTAAATGTTTTGTGGCAGGACCTCTTAGAAGAGCTGCAGTGTTTTGCAGCTAAAGCTGAATCAGGAAGCTTCTCTTAGATGAGAGCGCTTGCTTGCCTCTAGCAAGCAGAGCAGACCCCAGAAGTTGCAGCTACCAGGAAAACATGCTTTACTCTATTCTTTCCCAAGCTTTCTCAGGCTTTCTGTGGATGTAGTTATCCACGTTGGGCACCATTCTGTACATGAGGGTCTGCTTGGCACACAAACATCTAGTCTCATAAAAGCCATTGAAATGCTTTAAAGCCAGAGTTTGCACTGGCGACACAGCCCAGGAACCCCCACAGCTTTTTTTT